CCTCAGCTCACCCCTCGCACTCGCATGGACGGTCAGCAGTCCAGTCCTTTCCCCAGCACTTTTTGTTCAGCACCTTCAGGAACGGGAGATAAAAGACTCCCTGGATGGCGTTGTGGGGTCAGGAGGGGAGGTCGCACTCTTGAACTTATTTGTTTATATAGCTCATTTATTTATAAAGCTCAATTTATTGATATAGCTCATTTCATAAAACATCAGAGCATCTGTCTTATAGCTCCCAGGTGCAGACCAAGAGTTAGATGCATTGAAAGCTAAAAAATGGGGCCAGACGCAATGGTTCATGCCTGTAATCCCAGCACTTTGGGAGGCCGAGGCGGGCAGATCACAAGGCCAGGAGATCAAGACCATCGTGGCCAACATAGTGAAACCCGTCTCTACTAAAAATACAAAAAAAAAAAAAAAATTAGCCGGGTGTGGTGGTGCACGCCTGTAGTCCCAGCTACTCAGGAGGCTGAGGCAGGAGAGTCGCTTGAACTCAGGAGGCAGAGATTGCAGTGTGCTGAGATTGCACCACTGCACTACAGCCTGGGTGACAAGGCAAGACTGTCTCAAAATTTAAAAAATAAAAGAAAGCTAAAAAATGAAGAACATGGGAGACAGCTCAGGGTTGGACTAAGACTCATGATGCATAACAGATTCCAGGGGTCACCATCACACCTAGGTCCCAAGCACTGGGTGGGAAACAGCTCCCAGATGTGGGAAAGCCCATGGAGCAGGGTCTGCCCACCAGCTTCCATTTCTGTCCCCAGGGAAGGGGGTCCATGTGTCTGAACCTAGACAGAAACAAGGAGAGGGGACACCTGGGCATAGGTAGGACAAGAGACCAAGGGACATCTGGAGAGTCACTCACCAGCCAGGTGAGCTGCCTTCCTCCAGTCTGAAAGGCAACACACAGGAAACAGGTGAGCTAAGAACCAGAACATCTCCTACAAAGGGGACACAGAGAACCCACGAGTAAAAGCAGAACTTACCGAGATCTGCCTTGAGTTCATCTGAAAGACAGTGAAAAAAACATGAACTCCCATCCCTAAGAAAAGGAAAGACTGTGCCTAGAAAACTTATGAAAAAGTACTTTTCTGTGTCTAAGAGGAAGTTCTAACCCCGGACCTAGCAGAGCCTCCATGGCCCCAACGGTCTTGTCTGGATCCTCTCAGACACCTGCTCTGGGCCCCAGGCCCTGGGTCTCCCCAGCCAGCTGGCCCCACAGACTCTCAGCCCCAGCTGCTGTACTTGCCAGCCTCGGCCCAGCCTTACCACTGGGCTTCAGAGCCTCCTCCTTTGTCGCTCCTCCTCCTTACCTGGCGCAGATTCTCCTGTTCCGGCTGCTCCTGCAACTTTGTGGAATGTTCTCTCATGATAAAATAGCCAGCCCCAAAGAGGAGCCCCAGTACGATCAGACTCACAGCGAAAGCTGACTTCCACGGAGAGAGCTGAGGGAAGCATAGTTTGTGGCCCAGGCAGAGACCCAGTCAGGGGCAGGGGTACACCCAGGACAGCCAGCCCAGCACACCCGGGGATACCAGCCCCTCCTTCCAGCCCTGCTGGGAGAGAGGAGCAGTGCTGACCTGGGATGAAAATGACCATTGCCTTCTCCCAGCCCAGGATAGGGTTGAGGATGGAGCAGGTCACATTCCTCACGGAGCTGTGTCTCACCACCAGAGCGGCCCCCACACTGAACAGCCCTTCAGCGTCTTGGACATGGGCCTCAGAGAACGCCAGGAACGTCTCTCTGCTGCTGTCTCTCCACTGATGTTCCTCCACTGCACCTGGGGCTTCAGGAACCACCCCAAGGCCGTATGCACCACATGGATCCCATTCTCTTCTGGCCCTTCAGTGCGCACTTGAGGGCAGAGCCCACCCCTGCAGGACGGAAGGTGTGCAGCCCAGGAAGGCCCTCTTGGGCCCTGGGACTCCAGCAGTGCCTACATGTTGTCCAACTCCTGGGAGAGCCATCCACATTGCTTTCTGAGGCTCTTATGGGAAGCCCAGCCCCTGGAGGGGGAAGGTAGTAGCCCTGCCAGGGGAACAGAAGAAAGAAGCACAGGGGGCCGGGCGCGGTGGCTCACGCCTGTAATCCCAGCACTTTGGGAAGCCGAGGCGAGTGGATCACAAGGTTAGGAGTTTGAGACCAGCCTGGCCAACATGGTGCAACCCCATCTCTACTAAAAACAAAAAAAAACTGGATGTGGTATTGCAGGCTTGGAATCCCAGCTACTCTGGAGGCTGAGGCAAGATAATCACTTGAACCCAGGAGGCAGAGGTTGTGGTGAGCCAAAATCACACCATTGCACTCTAGCCTGGGTGACAGAGTAAGACTCTGTCTCAAAAAAAAAAAAAAAAAAAAAAAAAAAAGCAGCACAGGGACATATAGAGGGGCACAAAGGCCAGGGGCGCTTCTCCCCAACCACTAAGGCAAAAAGTCTAAGGCCCAGAAGAAACAGGAGGAATTTGATCCCAGCGTCCCATCTAGCACCCCCAGTCTTCTCGCCTCACACGCCCTCCTGGGCATCTTTTCTTGTGCCCTCTGCTTGTCTTAGTAAATCACTTCCAAAATTATACTGATTGACAACTGTGCCTCCTGAACTTCCCTTCCTTACAACCACACCTCTACGGGCTATCTCTCTACCCCGATTTCTCACATACACTTCAAACCCAAAATTCCACACCTGAATTCATCATTGTCCCAGCTGTGGTAAACTGATTATCATAATGTCCCCAGTTCATCACTGTTCTTTATGTCTAGCTCACCCTCTGTGACATATGTTTTCATGACTTCACACTCTGCCTCCAGGCTCCGTCGTGCGACTTGATTTGGCAGATGAGAGATGAGCAAATGTGACTAAGCAGAGGTTAGAAAGGCGCATGCAGCACTGGTTTTGCCATCTGCAAGCCCATGGAAGGCTGTTCCTGGGCGACCCACTGGAGCACGAGGCTCAAGAAGCCTCACTGGTCACCCCAGCCTTTCCAGCTGAAGCTGTCCTCGGTCAGCCAACAGCCAGTTGACCCCCAGAATGTGAATAAACCCAGCCACAGTCCACGTGGTCCACAAAGATGTATAAGTGGGCCGGGCACTGTGGCTCACGCCTATAATCCCAGCACTTTGGGAGGCCGAAGCGGGAGGATCACCTGAGGTCAGGAGTTCAAGACCAGCCTGGTGATTATGGTAAAATCTTGCATCTACTGAAAATACAAAAATTAGCCAAGTGAGGTGGCACACACCTGTAATCCCAGTTACCTGGGAGGCTGAGGCACAAGAATCACTTGAACCTGGGAAGTGAAGATGCAGTGAGGTTGAGATTGTGCCACTGTGCTCCAGCCTAGGCGACAGAGCAAGACTCGGTCTCAATAAATAAAAAAGAAAAAGAAGAAATTAGCCAAATCTAGTCCAGATTAGTTGAACTCCCTTAATGCCCAAATTAAATAAATATTTATTGCCATATGCCATTGAGATTTTATGATTGTTCATTACACAGCATCATTGCAACAGGTAACTGCACAGTTAGCCACCCTCCTACACTAAACAACCCCTGGAAGTCTCTGCGATCCTCTCTTGCCCCTCCAAACTCTCTGTCCCCAGATCTATTTACTTGGTTAAGTTTGGTTTGCAGCCTCTCTGATATCTGACCCTCCTCTCCCACCCGACTGCCCCTCACCGCTGCCTGAGGTCAGTCATCCTCTCCGCCTCAGCACTGCACCCCATGCCTCCAGCCTCACTTGCCTTCCATGCATCCTTCTGACAGCTGCCAAAGTGAGTGTTCCCAGCACTGCTGTTTACAAGCTCCTCAGCCCTGCATCCAAACTCCATTGCACAGCACACAAAGCCACGGCCGATCCAGAGACCGCCTTCCTCTCCAACCCTGCTCTCTACCTCTCTGCCTCCACCAACTCCACCACCTGCGCCCTTGAGGGCCCACACTCTCCACCCCAAGGACTATTTGGTTAACTGCCAGCAGCCCCAGTCATCAGGCAGTGTGTGCTGCTGCCTTTTCACGTTCCAGTCCATCCAGCTCAGGGGCTCTCAGAGCCTCATCTGGTGAGCTCATGTGCCAGCTCAGCCACCCACTCCTAATGACTGTTCCTGATGGCCGGGTGCAGGGTTGATCAATCTCTCCTCTTTGCACCTTGTGCCTGGAACACTCTTTATTCCAGTATTGTCACCTCCTGCCACCCTTCCCTCGACTCTTCCCACCAACCCAACAACCTGCCAGGGCGCCCCGCACACACCAGCCATGCTCTTACCACGAGGGTTTCACACTGGGTGCTCTCTCTACCTGGAACTCTCATTTCTCACATATCCACGCAGCTACTTCCTTTGAGCCTTTGCTCGGAGCATCCGTAAGGCCCGCGTGAGCCCCTGTGTAACGCTGCAGCCTGCCCTCGCCCCTCTGACCCCACATCCTGATCTCCCGCCATTGCTTTCCCTGGCTTCTTATCCCAAGCACGTATCACCTTCTAACAGCATCTACAACCACAAATGTAATCATACATGTATTCATACAAAATTGTCCTTATAAAGTCAGGGCATCTTCAGGACACTTCCAGTTAATGAGGCACCCCTGTCAATCCTTCTGGTTAACTGATTTTTGTTTGTTTAGCAGTGAATTTTAATGAATAAAACCTCTAGGATTAAAATTCTTTTTTTTTTTCCCTTTCTTGAGACAGTCTTACTGTGTTGCTCAGGCTGGAATGATACAAATGTATTTATTGTGATGTTTCTATCGGTGCCTAAAACATAAACTCCACATTGTTTGCTTCACTGATGTGTCCTGGGAGAGCAGAACAAGGCCTGGCACATATTAGGGACTCTATATAATAGTATGAAATAAATAACTAAATAAATGGCATTTGTATGGAATAAATAAATGAATAAGTAAATGGCATAATTGTCCTTATCTATAGCATGAAGGGCCGAATTAGAGGTCCCTGAAGTTCCTTCCAGTTCTAATACAACGGGACTCTAGAATACAGATCCAGTCACCAACCTGCCACCTTCAGTTCCAAAGTCGCCTCTTCATAGAAGCCTCCCCTTCTGAAGAGGCAGGTGTGCCACCCGTTGTCATAAACCTGGGCGTGTGGGAGTGTAGGCAGCCTCCCCCAGCTGAGGAGGTCTCAGCAGCGAGGTCCGCCTGCACACTGGCCTCTGCTCCTCATCTGCCCCCGTTGGTTCCGATAGATGAACACCACTTCTGAGAACTTGCTGCAGAACCACCTCAGCTCCATGCTCTCTGCACTCATGGCTGGGGACACGCAAGTCCTCGTGGGAGGAATTTGAGAACCAAGCTACGGGAAAAGGCCTAGAGGTCTCCAACCTTGGCCTCCGTCCCTGTTAGAATCAAAGGAGAGAGGCGTGGGGCACTGGAGGCAGAAGAGGCTCTGCCCGTCCCTCCCTGAGAGGCAGATTCTCAGTCCCCAGGATGCCAGACACTCTTTTCTCTCCTGTCACTGAGTCTCCTCTCCACAGGCAGAGCCGTGGGCTTAACCCTGAGGCCAGCGCCTCTGATCTCTAACGACCGCCATCAAATCCTGGCTGCCATTCACTGGGTGGCATCTTACTTTGAACATTACACATTTATTTCCCTGAAGGTTTTAGCATAATACCGTGAGGTGGTCCTTACTGTCGTCACTTCACAGCTGAGAGACAAAGAGAGGCTCAATGCTCTGAGAAAACCTCCCCAGGTCACAGGTCGTGTGGTCAAACCCTAACGGGGCCAGGTCTGCAGCAAAGCTCAGTCGAGCTCTATACAGGGGGCCACCAGATTAGGGGCACCAGCACTAGGGGTCCTCCAGGGATCTAGGGAGACAGGAGAGAAGGCAGAGAACATGTTAGAGCTATTATAGAATCTTTAATCTCATCCCTTTTAATGTGATTTGCGTTTGTTCTTTTAACCTTCATAAAGTTTACACGTCTGTTAGTTGCATGTTCTAAGCACATTACTGAACGGAGTGTGTGATCGAAACAGTTTGGAGAACCTTGCTCCAGATCTCTGCTCCAGAAATCGTCCCTAAAGCAGCGGGTCCAGAGAAGAAAGCAAGACCAAGAAGCAGCAACTGCCTGGGACGCATCCAGACAGAAGGCGCTCGGTGGGCAGGGGGAGCAACTTGTGGGCCAGGAAAGGCCGCCCAGCTGGTCTCACCAGATTTTCCTCAGCCTCTGCTGCCCTCTTCTGGCCATAACGTGGCAGACAGAGCAGTTCCGGCAGGAAGACACCGAGCAAGGGGTAGGGAGGATGCAGAAAATAATCTTAGAACCATGGGAGGGAGCAAAGGAAACCAGACACAAACCCCAAGCTATAGCATTTCAAACATGTGAAGCTGAAGAATAGCAAAACGAGGCATTCACTCACGGCATGGTGACTCACGCCTGCAATCCTAATACTTTGGAAGGCCAATATGGGCAGATCACCTGAGTTCTCAAGTTCAAGACCAGCCTGATCAACATGGAGAAACCCCCGTCTCTGCTAAAAATACAAAATTGGCTTGGCATGGTGGTGCATGCCTGTAATCCCAGCTACTCAGGAGACTGAGGCAGGAGAATAACTTGAACCCAGGAGGCAGAAGTTGCAGTGAGCCAAGATCACACCATTGCACTCCAACCTGAGCAACAAGAGCGAAACTCTGTCTCAAAAAAAAATAAAATAAAATACAAAAACTAGCTGGAAATCACTTGAATCCAGGGGGCGGAGGTTGCAGTGAGTAGAGATCCTGCCACTGCACTCCACTCTGGGCAACAGAGCGAGACTCCCTCTCAAATAAATAAATAAAAAGCAAACAAGAAAAACAAGTCCATGGTGACAGAAGTCCAAGAGCAGTTCCTGGCAGGCTGACTGCGTAGTGAGGACAGGAAAGGACACAGGGTGGTCGGGGGAGCGGGGAGGTGCCTCTTTCATCTTTTGATCTAGGGGTGGTTACTTGGGTGCATGCATTGGTGAAAATTCGTTTCTCAGGACACTGAAAATTGGTGCCTTTTATTCTATGTAAGCTATAGCTCAATTTGAACCAAAAAAAAAGTTTTCAAACTCAAAAGGTTGATGGGGCTGGAAGCTGGAGGTCACTGTGGTGGGAGCACACACTCAGGAGTGGGACCACCTGGTGGGAATCCTGCTTCCCACTCAGTAGTCAGGGACGTGGCACAGTCCCCCCTGCTCCGGGCCTCTGCTCCCACCTGTAAATACAGGTGTTCTGCCTGCCAACCTCAAACAGCTTTTGAGCGGATTACATTACTTAATCCACTTATAATTATTCACTTATTACACACTTCACTTTTAATTAGATTTTGTTCATATTGATTTGTCGAGAAAACTGAGTTCCCTCAGAGGGAAGTGGGAGGACAATGTGAGTGTCTCTACCCAAACACACTCATCTGTCCCCCATTGCCCCCAGTCTCACCGCTCCCTGAGAACAGAGCGGGGACACTCCCCCCACACACACACAACGCATCCACTGCATTTCTGTCTTGGCAAAAGGCCCAAGCCATTTCCCCCAAGCCAAAAGCTTTTCTCCTCCAAGCCCCCCTCCCTTTCACCCCCACAGTGCCTCTAGAGATTATAGGACACAACCCTTACGTGCCCTTGTTTAGTGAGCATTGACAGCCAGCTGCATGCAACTAAGGGAAACAACAGAAAAATCTCCTGCCCTGAGCAGCCTCACAGTCTGACCGGCTGACAGGACAGACTGGCTCCGCACACTGAAGTGGAGAAATCACAAAGGCCATGGACAGGAAACACAGGACCCAAAACCATGGAGGTAAGAGGGGAAGGAGAGGAGGAGCCTCCTGTCCTGAGCAGAGGAGCTAGAGACAGGCCCTCAGCTTCCTGGCTTTGACCCTGGGGAAACTGAATTCCCTGGAGCAAAGCTGGGGGTGCCTGACCTCTCTGAAATGATGTCTTCTCCACTGAGATGGCACCTTCCTTGCTGAGGAGACACTAACTCAGAGGGAGTTGAAAGCAGAGGTTCGAAGGTGCAAGGGGGAGCTACAGGCTGAATGCCAGGAGGTGGGAGATGAAAAGGAAGCTGAGGACGCTGCCCTGAGGTCTCTGCTGAGAAACAGCACAGTCCTGAGTGAGGAGAGCATGTTCCCCACCCCACGGGAGATTCAGCCCTTGCCTAGCTAGCACTCCTCAGGGCTGGTGTGAGGAGAAAGGAATGAAAGGTGGAGGGTCCCAGCGGGAAGCTGAAGGCCACTGAGAAGGTTTGACAACAGAGCTGTAATTAAGAGGCTGAGTACTGAGTGAGGGCAAGTGGAGGGGTTTGCAAGGGATTCTGAGGCAACAGGGACCATTGTTCCCCCTCCCCACTGGACACAAAGGGGCAAGAGGAGGAGGAGCCAGGATGAGGCTGCAGTCCTAGAAGGAATGCAAGAGAAACACCCCATCCCCTCTCCTCCCACTCCTGTTCTCCCTCTGGTGCCTCCCATTGGCCAAACCCACTGAGAAGCTGCCAGCAAGGCCCCCCCCACCCCCGACCTCCCGTGTGATCTGTCCATAGAGGAGGGTCTCCCAGGTCACAAAGCAAGGAAAGAAAGGATGGAAAATGGATGGGGTGAGGGCACAGACAGAGCAGCCAATGCAAAAAAGGAAGAGGTCGGAGCCTGGAGCAGGGGTGGGGAGGCTAATAAAACTGCCTTTGCAAAAATTATAAAAGTGAGAAAATTATTATGACAGCAAAAGAGATCTGACCACACCAAATCCATCTTGCTTTAACCTCAGCAGTTGCAAGATTTGCAAGCTCCCTAATTACTAGAACCTAAGATTGGCCTTTTAAAATGTCTTCTCAAGCTTTTGCATTTCTGACAACAGAACGGCCCAACTTGGACCAGTGACTCCTCTGTGGCCCCACCCAGAAGCTGACTCTGTGCAAGAGGACCATTTTCCACATCCCTCATTGCATCCCCAACCAGTCAGCAGTACCCATTCCCTAGCCCCCTGCCCACCAAACTATCTTTTTAAAAAGCCCTAGCCTCTGAATTGTCAAGGAAGCTGATTTGAGTAGGAATAAAAACCAGTCTCCCAGTTACCTGACTTTGCATGTATTTAACTCTTTTTCTATTGCAATTCCCCTGTCTTCATAAATTGGCTCTTTCTGGGCAGTGGGCAAGAAGAACTCACTGGGCAGTTGTACTCATATGAAAATTCTCGGCGCAAGCCTGTGTCCCCGCGGCAAGCAGCAGTGGTGTCATGGGCTGAACGCGGAGGGGGCGGAGGGAGCCCGAGCAGTGGCAGCTACAGCAAAATGGCGGAGACCATGGCTGACACCCGGCAGCTGATCACCAAGCTACAGAACCTGAATGACGCCTACGGACCCCCCAGCGACTTCTTCGAAATCAATGTGAGCGATCCTCAGACGGTGGGCGTCGGCCGGGGCCGCTTCACCACCTACGAAATCAGGGTCAAGACAATCTTCCTATTTTCAAGCTGAAAGAATCTACTGTTAGGAGAAGATACAGTGACTTTGAATGGCTGCAAAGTGAATTAGAAAGAGAGAGCAAAGCTGCAGTTCCCCCACTCCCTGTGAAAGCGTTTTTGCGTCAGCTTCCTTTTAGAGGCGATGATGGAATATTTGATGACAATTTTATTGAGGAAAGAAAACAAGGGCTGGAGCAGTTTATAAACAAGTTTGCTGGTCATCCTCTGGCACAGAATGAACGTTGTCTTCACATGTTTTTACAAGATGAAATAATAGATAAAAGCTATACTCCATCTAAAATAAGACATGCCTGAAATTTGGCAAGAAGGGGCAAAAATGTGACTATTAATGATTGATATGCACCAGTGAAGAAGTTCTAACTTTTAGCAACCTGGTATAACATGCCTTTAGTATACTAACACTCATGCTCGATTTTGTTTTGGCAGTTGACAAGAAGTTAATTTGCTTTAGTGAAAATCCCTCATTCCAGCCTTTCTACATGAATAGCTCTTTCTTGCTGTTTTAATGTGGTGCACACTGTAGCCTCACAAACCTGTTATTCCAATGTAATCTGCAGTGTCCTAACTAAAGTTGCTGGCTTGGTCTTATTTGCACAGGTTTTGTGTCTTCTTTGCTTCTTGCATTTGATTAACTAGAATATTTCTCTTTCCCCCTTTTAATGTGTCTATGTCACTTGACCTAATTTATGTGTAGGAGCACTACACCATTGGTTTCCAATACTGCCCACAAAAGATACATACTTGTGCACAGAAAGTATCTTCCTTCAGGCTTGTAATACCCTTCACATGGAAGATTAATGAGATAAATAT